TCTTCCTAAATTGAATGCAAAGATTGGCTAGTGCTTGACCAAATTTTCAAGTTTTTTAGTTCAGCTACATCATTCGCTAAGACCCAAAATAAAACTCATTGCCATTGAGTCTATTCCAACTCTTAGCAACCCAATAGGACAGAGTAGAACTGCCCCATAGAGTTTCCAAGGAGCTGCTGATGGATTCGAACTGCTGACCTTTTGGTTAGCAGACGTAGCTCTTAATCACTGTGCATTCTCTAGCTACCCTTTATTTTGAAAAATTAGCATAAGTTCTAGTGTCAGTTGGTTATAAATAGTAATATTTATAATTATCTATTATTGAGTTACTATGAGCCAGATGGTATGATTTTTACATATACTATCTCTTCTGAAACTCAACACAACCCTATAATGTGGTGTTATTTTCTCCACTTACAGATTAAGAAACTGAAGAATAGAGGGTTTAAATAACTTTCCCAATATCATATAGTAATAGAGCTGGGAATTACTAGACTTTGAATAAATCCTTTTGTTTCTTTGTATTTTTGTTCTCTTATCTGTAATATGAGGATTGCCCTAGATCAGTTATTTTCAAACTTTTATAGCTATGGCATTCTGGGAAACAACTCAGCAGTACCCTTGGGCACTATGGAGAAACACATTGTAAAAATAACCTGATTAGAAATTCTCCAAGGGACGCCGTAGCTCTTCCAAATATCAGAGTTCTCACCATTTTTCTACAAAAGCCTCACCTCATATATTCACAATGACAGTATTTCATAATGGGTACTATACTTTTGGGAGAGAAATTGTGGAATAGGGGTCCTTTATATTCTACTTCCTAGGAAGATCAGTGAGGCGAAGAACACTTCTTCTCCCAAGATATTGTTTAACCAAACCAAAGGACAAAAAAACTATCCTGTCAGAATATCCTGTGTCTTGTCAAAACAACAGTCCCTTGGTCATCCTACAAAAGAGGATATATATGCATATATATAACCATAGTGCCAGGTGGAGCTTGAAAGAGGAAGGGTGAATTTAAGGAAACTGGGGTAGATCTTATATGTCTCTGGGTGGCTCAAGCAGAAAGGTTGGCAGTTCAGACCCACCCAGAAGCACCTGAGAAGAATGGCCTGGCGATCTGCTTCCAAAAGGTCAGAGCCTTGAAAACTCTATGGAATGTCATTCTACTCTGCACACATGGGTCTCCATGAATAGGAATTGATTCAATGACAACTTCCTTTTTTTGGAGGGGGATGGGAGGACAGATCTTGGTAGGTGAACAGATGGCAAGAGGAAGAAGTCACAGGAGGAATGGAATCTCTCAGAGAGGCAACTCCCTTATAGAGCTCTTGGGCTGCGAGTACAAAGAATAAAAGCAGTATGCATCATTCAGGGGAGCTGTTACCACAGAGAGACCCCATTATCTCTATAGACCAATTACATGCTCCTAAAAAGCAGGAGTCCCTAGGCTAAATGCTCAATTACTAACCAAACGTTGGAGGTTTGAACCCACCCAGAGGCACTGCAAAAGAAAGGCCTGGCAATCTGCTTCTGAAAGATCACAGACATTGAAAATTCTAAGTAGTACAGTTCTACTCTGTACACATGGGGTCACCATGAATCAGAATTGATACAACGGCAGCTAGTAAAAGCCAGAAACTTGATCTTATATTTCTATCTCCTTCAACATGTGGAGTATAGTAAATATCCAATATGTCCAATAAAAT